AACATCCTGATTCACTTTGTATAATATATTCAATTAGAAAATAAATATATTCTTTTTCTTCAAAGCATAAACTCTGCATAAGATATGCTTGCTGTGAGGTCAGTCTTCCCTCATGGGAGAGAAGCAATTAGCTTTGAAACAGACTTTTCTGGATGCAGATCACAAGAAAGAACACCATCCTTGGGAATGGCCAATTTACCCTTGCAAATTCCTTGATGCTGAATTTCATTAGCCATTTTAAGAATAAGACCCAGGAAATTTCAACATCTGTGACCCATTTTACAGGTGAAGAATGAAAATCCAAAGGTAATGACAGCTCACCTTACCCGAGCACTTACTCTCTATGTGTGATGCTTATGGCCCTAAGGTAAATCCGTAAGTGTATTGTTATCCTCACACCATCCTGTGAGAGGTTCAACTTTAGCCCAATTTTATGTTGGAGGAAACTGAAGCTCAAAGAGATTAAGTGTGGCTGGTCATGGTGGCCATGCCTGTAATCCTAGCACTCTGAAAGGCTGAGGTGGGAGGATCGCTTGAGGCCAGCAGTTTGAGACCAGCTTGAGCAAGGGCAAGACCTTGTCTCTACTAAAAATAGAAAAATTAGCTGGGTATGGTGGCTCACACCTATAGTCCCAGCTACTCAGGAGGCTGAAGCAGGAGGATTGCTTGAGCTCAGGAGTTTAGGATTGCTGTGAGCTATAAGGATGCCACTGCACTCTAGCCAGGAGAGCCATTTGTTGGTCACTCGTCTTTGGAGTGACAGTTTGGGCAGAGTTCAGCTAGGATGGCTCATCTCTGCTCTGCATCTGTTTGCAGTTGTTGCCTGGTGAGCCGGGGGCGGTGGCCTTGCTCCCAGGCCGGGGCCTGAGGCCTGTAATGGCTGGATGCCTGGGCCTCTCTGTCCACGTGGCCCCTCTCGTCCTCACTCAAGGACTTACTCACAGACAGCAAGGTGAAAGTGGAAAGGTGAGAGTGGAAGCTACAGGGCCTTTGCAAGCCAAGACTTGGAAGTCTTATGGCGTCACTTCTGCCACATCCTATGGCTCCAAGCAGGTCACAAAGTCAGCCCAGATCCAAGGGGGTGGGGAAATAGGTTCCACCTTTGATGGGAGGAGCTTTAAAGAATGCGTGGCCATCTTTAACTTACCATAGGGCATTTCCAATGGGGAGAACAGCTTCTGGAAGGGAATAGAAACAGGAATACATAAAAGTTATAGGAATTTTAAGGAGTCCAGCCTGATTTAAATTGGAGGCTTGTTGATGAGCAGCTTGAAACGAAACTGGGTAGGCAGCCTGAGAGGCCCACACACTATAGGCGTAGAAGCAGGACTTTGCTGTAAGGGTGAGCACGCCTCAGCGCGTGTACACCGACAACTACTTCAAAGAATTCCTTTTTAATTCGTCTTCATTATTGTTTTTATTTTTAAAAGAATTTTTGCTTTGCAATCTTGGAAGACCCTGTTTCATTAAAGTACCATCCAAGAATGGACTTCACTGAAGCCTTTATGGATTTCAGAAGACAGAACGTAGAGGCAATGAAGGACAGTGGTTAAGCAGCTGAGCTCCGGAGCCAGGCAGACCTTGGTTCAAATCCCGTCTTCACCATTG